TATATGAAATATCATCTCGTTTACTGCATCATTGGAAATAGAATATGTTTAAGCAAGAAAAAGTTAGTGAATCTTTGTCAAAGTTCGGTAATGACTATGGAATAAATGAATGAGATGTGTAAGGGACAGGAGATGTAGGTTTAGAAATCATCCACACAGAAGTACAAGTTGAAGCCATGGGGTCTCTGAGTATATACAGTGAGAAGTACAAAGTCTAGGATTGAGTCTTGAACATGCTGCTTCCCACCTCCCTGTTCCCATTTAGGGTGTAGGTGGAAAAAGTAAACTAGATACAGTGACTTGAGAGGTATGTCAGAGAAAAATTACACTGAATAAGTTAAACAGGCAAGGATGACTTTATTGAAGACTATTGCAATAGGAGAGAGAGATTGAACTCAACTTAGCTGAAATAAACAGTAGGAGAGTTTTTAAGCACTTGGGTGAATTAATATAAAAGGCGGGCATTGTGCAGAGGTTGGTCAGTGTGATTAGGACTGCTGTTTTCCTAATTAGCACTTATTGAAGTTAGACTGCCACCCTCCCACAGAGACTGGGCCCTGTCTTTCTTGATGATTATACTTCAAAGGGATGGCTTCCATGTCCTTGAGAAAGATATTCCTGGGTTGTAAAACTGGCAAGAGGCTGGGAGAAGATTTACATCTCAAATGGGCAGAGAAAGAATTCATAATTGCAAGTTTTCTAAAGTAAATGCTCTGAGAAAAGGGAGATCAGGGACCCATAGTCAGGAAGAAGCCTATCTAAAATTTAGTCAAGTTGATGGGGACATTAAAGCCATCTTAGTCAGGCAGTACAATAGCTGGTGCAGTGGAATGTTGAGATAGAGCTAGATGAAATGAAAATTCCCAGTAGGAAGGGGCTTCATGACAAAGCCATCTGGTTCAGCAGTGCTCAGATGATTGTTGCTCTTTATGAAGGATTAGTAGGACCATGCTTTGATGAGTGTAATGACACAGGAAGGCCAGGCATCTGTGGAGACATGGAGCATAGGGGCCTGACTAGTGTTTCGTCTGATTACCCCCTTCCCTTGGAAAGAGCTCCCTGCACCCCCAGCCCAGGTAGTTCTGTGAGTCCCCAAGGAGCTCTCCTTGTATTCATTCCTAAATCCAGGTCATCAGCCTGTAGGCATCTACATTTTCTTCCTT